CGGTGGCGGCCCCACCTGCGCAGGGCGCCACGCGCTCTTTACTAACCTTGGGTAACCTTTCGGGATCACCCGGATGTCTGGGGATCACTTTCTGCAACCTCTGGAAGCCGTAATCTATGGTTGGTTCATTAAGGGCTGCAACAGGACACAAAAACGTAGATCAGGTTAATTACGGTTACGTCGTCCGCCGTGTGGTTACCGCATGCTCTCACACACGGGTCTGGGTCTCCTTCTCTGACACTTTCTAAGGCAAGCACCCTTGAATGCCAGCTCCAGCTGAAGGAATAGATTTCCCCCTTTCTTTTGCACATAAAAGCAATGATTATTTCTAATCTATAATTAGACTGGAAGAAAGTCGAAGGGTGACTCAATATATTGTAAAAATGGTGGTGCAGTCACAAAGTGACAGGTCTTGGGGCCATACGCAGCCATCACCACTGCTGTGATGTGATGACTGCATCTCGCCGTGCCTTCCACACTGGCCAGGGATTTATGGGAAACTGGCAATTATGACATATGTCCGGCTATTGCTAGCCTCAGATTTATCCCTGTGGTCCTTTTTTGTCTCGCATATTGCCTGAGCACAGACCAGGCAGGAGGAGCACTTATTCTTGCAAAGCTTTAATAATCTGTGAATGGCTGACTACAAACTGATGTAGAGCACTATCATTCTACAGCTGCAACCCACCAGCCCCACGAAATTGCCGGCCACAAATAGTAATTAATCTTTTTATCCCTCAAATTGTAATTTTGACTATGAACTGTGCGCGGCCATAAATCAGCCGCACATGCGCCGTGTACAGTGCATGAATCACGGCCGGGACTCTGTCCGCCTGCACACACTGTGTTTAACAAGCTTTCTAAGGAGCCATCGGGCTTTATTATGGCTCTGCCTGACTCCAACAAAAACTGAGCCCGGAGGCCCAGGGACGCGAGTTAAGATGAAAATACTTATTAGGGTACAGTACTTCTGGATGTAGATAGCGTTTTCTGTGGAGTAACTCTGCGGTGCATGGTGTGACATCAATCAGGAGGTTTTCGGAGACTAATAAGACCTGCCGCCATCTATTCATTACTCCGCCCGCAATTTGGGCCATCATTCATTAGTAATTTGATGATTACCACCACCCAACCCGGCAGGTCTGTGGAGTGCAGGGGAACACAAAGGCCACCACTTCCTAAGAGGAAGGTTAGGGGCTGCCTTTGAAAAAGCTCTCCACAGTAATTGGTCACCGTTATCCTCGAGTGCTGGGGCTGTGGGCGCATCTCGTAAGCAACGCAGGAAGCCTGGCACGCACACTCAATAACACGCCTGCAAGTTGAGGACCACAATATGATTTGACATTCCATCATACATCCCAGAGACAAAGGTCCGCACAGGAATGTGAAGTAAGACATTTTCTTGTTAATAAAGCATTGATCCGACGTATTGATTTTACATGACATGGCTTTTGCTGGGATTTTGCCCTCTTTTTTCTTTGCAAATAGTGAAGCTCTTCAAAATGCCTTGGTGTGTGTGACATGGCAAAATTTCTAACTCTCTGTGATGTAAATTCTATATGTGTAAAACCACTTCATAATCAGACCATTAATCATCAGAAGCTGTCAGCATTGACTTGGGGGACAATTTGTCACGTCTCTGCCTGGGCCTGGGCAAGGGTGTCAGGCAGAAGCACAGCTCGGGCATCAGGGCAGATGGGCGGCTGCTGTGGCCTCACCAAGTGACGGTCCAAAAGGGATTAAAGGGTTAGGTTTCCTGATCAGGGAACAAAAATGGTGGCCCTGTGCATTCCTAACATGTCAGGTCTCTCCTCTCTCCCAGCTAATCGCCATGACTGCTGGACTTAATGAATCGGCCTGATGAAAGGTGATCAGAGAAGATAGATGGGCGGCCGTTATTGATTTCATGCAAATGCCCCCCGACAGGTGATAGACGCTTTAATGCAAGCTTTCAGAAGCTTTATGACTTGTGATAACCATACACTCTCTTTCTCCTTCCATGACCAAAAATATCTTAAAGCAGCAGGAAAACGAGGGCACCTTTCACCTCTCCATTCAGCCCGAAGCGGATCAGTGCTGTGCCCGCAAAGCCTGGAACAGGCACCAAGTTCAGAGAAGAGGTGTGGGCGCCACGGCAGGTCTCCGCCAGGCCAGGCGGGGCCTCAGGAAGGGCTGGGGCTGTGGCTCCAGCTCGAATCCCCACCCAGAGGCTTGGCTGCCGGAAGCCCAACGAATTACATGGAGGGATGACATAAAAGTGGCCCCTCCTCGAGTAGCAAGATCAGTGACATGCGCTCCCAGGGCTGGGTGTTCTGCTCTCTGGGAGTGGGGTCCAACGTGCCTCTCTGAGCAGCTGTCATCTGCAGAGCGTTCCCCCCCCCCCCCCCGGCCTCCAAGAAACCCTGCCCACGGGCGGGCAGCCCGTCTGGCCCGAAGCCCTCCGAACCACACGGAGCCCATCCCTACCAAGCACCCGGAGAAGCGAGAACTTGCCGAGAGA